ATTTCACGCTCATTGGGATTTATAAAGGGAATGTGCGTAGATCTGTGCTTACGCACAGTTTTATGCATCTGGATTTTTTCTTGCTTACGCACATTCCTAGTTTTGTCCGTACGCCTTGTTTTAGTGTGAATTCTACGCTCGTCGTTATACATGAGGCCCCTGGTCTCTAACTCGCTGACTCCAAAAAACCCGAGAGCCTGTTCGATGAACAAACCGAAACTTATGGGTTTTCGGGCACTCGATCGGTCGGTGAATCAAACGAACGGTTCGCGAACCGATCCCAAGAGACCTCGCGGCATTTACTGCGGAAATGCAGTTATGCTGTTAAAAGGAATAAAATAAACGCAGCTCTTCATCATTTATCACAACAGTAAATTATTGCATTTCTGTATAATAAAACTATATGTCTTTCATCAAAGAACAAACTAAGATATTTATTAACTTTGACGTTTACACAACAATGTATGCAAGTTTACTTATGCTCATTGTATGGGTAGCCTATGTGTGTTGTATTGGTAATATATGGTCATATGGTCAGGCGCAAAAAAAGACTGAAAAAATAATTAATCATAGAATCGGTTTTAGAATCGATTCATTACAACGGACAGTTCGAAAGAATCGAATTAGTTAATTGAGCCGAACTTCCCATCACTATTAGTTTAGCGTTGTCTCAAAGAACGTCCGACGTGTGGGAACAGATTCCCAAATGATCGTTCCCTCGGACGAAATTCCGCGATCTTACTACTCATGTCATGTAATCTGTTGAATTATGTGTCCTCATCTGACATAATATTTGACATTATCTGATTGAATTATTTTGTTAATACGTAAGGTGTACCAAAATTACATGATTTTGTTTGAGTTAGCGGGAGACTGAGTCTTGTACATACGTAGGCCTATATAAAAATGGAACCCAGTAGTCAGTGGCGTGAGTAAAAGCAAGACGAGAAAGCAAAGAATAAAAACCATCTTTTCGGAAGTAACCCTCTGCGTTATACTTCCACAATATGGCGAACAGAGCTGAGATTGCTACATAATCAATATAATAAAGCCTATAAAATCACGTCTTAGCATTCCAATTAATTCCAAAATAAATACAGTAAAATCCCGTTATAGTGGACTCGCTTATAACGGAATATCATCTGTAACGGACGAGGTCCGCTGGTCCCGGCTGTGCGCCTTTAAGAACATGCAGAAAAAGCATCGGATATAGCGGACGGTCATATAAAAGAATTTCGCTTATAAAGGACAGACAATTTGGTCCCCAGGACCGCTTTTAGCTGTAGTTTTGTTCGGCAATAACGGACATGCAGTTCCGCCTACAAGGCGCCTGGCGTGCCGGTGATATTCAGAGCAGATACGTACGTAGTCGGTATTAATAGTCACGCATCTGCTTAGGTAAAGTTGGATTACTACATGTACAAAATAATAATACTGTATATACCCCAAGTGTGTCTGCTGGGGTGTGGAATGAGTAAATGGGGTCCTGCAGTTGTGTTCTGGGCATACAGCAACTCTGGATATAACGGACTGTTTTGCCAGGTCCCTTGAAGTCCGTTATAACGGTATTTTACTATAAAATAAAAGCGTACGCATATTACAAATGTCAAACATGAAATGCAATGACTGAAATTTGAAAAAAATCCGTTAAAATAATATGAACAGGAAGATTTTTATATTTTGTTTAGTCACTGTAATTTGAAAGTTTATTACTAAAATAGCAAAGACAAGATACGGTTATTTGTGCAAAACATTTCACACGGATGTGATTGAAAGTATTTTACGGAGATCAAATAATATACAGTAATAATGACACGTGAACTCAACCCAGAAGGTTTTTCGTTGGCTACAGAGATCGAACCAGCAACTGTCGCGTTATAAGGCGACAGCATACACAATTGTACCACTGTGCCACTGTACTAAGCGCTTGTAACATTTACGTAACTTATGCATTTAGTCTGTCTGCAATTCATTGCCAAGTCAACTCCCTGACTGTTTATGGCCACAGTATTGCCTTTTTTTAACGACTACATCTTTGTATTTTTCATACAGCTTCATCAGCAGCGTTTGTTCTGCGGCAGAAAGAAACACCGCTCTTGTTTTACAGGCTTTCCGACACATTTGGTTGATCTATTGTTCATCCATTCATTCATTTGGGCTTCTTAAATATTGCGGGTGTGCGCACTAAACAAGACTATACAAGTTTGACTTGAATGAGCCTTGATTAGTTAAAGCTGGAACGACATGAGACTAAGTTTATAGATGGAGCGAGGTTGAGTCTGACTTTTTCTGGAAAGTCTGCCTTTCTTTAGCTACTTTCATGGAATCCCCCCCTGGGTTTAATTATAAGTAAGGCAGGCAAAATGCAGATGGACAACACAATAACTGGACTGGGGAAACAAACTGGAACGCGGACTAAATAGAGGACTAATGACAACAACCAGAAACAGCTGATCACACGGGGATTCCACGCGGGGTTAACGAGGGGGCGTGGCACATGGCCAATGGGGCAGAACACATTGTTTTTTTGTTTTTTTTTATTTTACACATTGTTTGGATACATTTATTTTCTTACTTTACAAATTACTGTTTTGATAAATGTGCTTAGATGTGTTTAGTACAGTATATGCTCTTCTTGTTTTATCCGGTTCATTTTGTGTTTAAATGCTAAAAAAAAACATATTTAGGTGTAATTTTTTTGGGGCCGGGAACCAATTAATTGGTCTTCCATTATTTCTTATGGGGAAAATTCCATCAGAACCTGAACTTTTTAGGATTCGATCTGTTCTGAAAGGATTAAGTTCTGAGGCACCACTGTACGCGCATTCCTATGGGAGAAATTGATGAATGCCATTCTATGCAAAAAATGTGCGTACGCACGGTTTACACAAAAATTCCGCGTGTTTGTACACGGAGTTGATAAACGAGACCCCAGGACTAACAAGGCAGAATGAGACGGAACAGCATGATACCTTTCAGAGGCTCGATGAAGGTCTCTCCGATGGGACTGACAAAAGATGAGCCATCCTTCCCGTCGTGGCTCGGGTTGTCGTCCTGAGCGGTGCCGCCTCCTGCACCACGACGGTGAGGAACGCGCGGATTAGGGGAAAGAGCACGGACGGAGAGCGGCTAGACAGGCGTGTCCCTAAGTACATGTCTCTGTATTTGACCTACCTCTGTAGCCCCCTCCTCCTCCACCAGAGGAGCAGGCTCCACCCCCTCCTCCGAAGCCCCCTCGTGTCTGCCAGCCAAACCGACAGGACGTGCCCCCCTGGCCCCCCAACAGGAGAGGCCTACCACCCTGTGTCGCCACTGGCATACTGTCATTCCAGCCCCCACCGCCACCTGCAACACAATGTCCAACACGTAAGGCCCATGGGGACTGAGCCCAGTCACCCCAACATATCCACACCTTTGCAGGCAGTGAGGGACCCCGGCCAAAGGATTTGTTTTCTGACATTTTTGTCTTCATTTGATATTTTCTTTATACTTAAAAATATATAACATAAACCATATTTTTTGCTTCATAGTAAAAAGTACTTTTAAGGCTGAAATGTTGAGGAGGATGCTGTAAAATATGACTTTAATCAGGTAGAACTTTCAGACAGATGCAAAAAAAAAAAAAGCAAAGGTGCCCCAGAAGTGGGGTGACAAGAAGCCCAGAGATCACAGCCAGGCGGGGTCTCCCTCTGCGGGCGGCAGGAGTGAGACGAGCGACACACTGAAGCTTCCTTCTGGATCCCTGCCAGCTCCCCTCCTTCAATCATGCAAATGTTCAATTAATCTTTTCAGCCTGCTGCCTAATTTCCCCGCATGTCGTGTCGCTGACTCCGGTGAGGGGACAGGTGACCCGGTGAGTCGGCTCCGCAGCCACGGAGGAGGCCGGCGCTGCTCTCTAATCAGATGCCAGGGGGCGCCGCTCTTCACGTCGAGAATGCTCCACTTGAGCTGCGGTGCCCTAGTGCGGGCAAGGGGCAGTTAAAAGGGCATTTCTGCTGCGAGAGGCCTCTGCAGGTGATGAATAAAGACACTGTACGCCATGCCGGCGTCTCCCTGCTGGGGCAAAGCGCCGCGCTACGATGCGCGAGGTCGCTCCAGACGCGGGCCTCGGACACGCTGACACCGAGGACAGCCGTACGGGGTCGATGGCCGGCATGTCTTGCGACTCCGATCCGACGTTACGGAACAGAGACAGAGCCATGGATGCCCAGTGAAGAAGAGGCCGTAATTGGACTCGGCTGCATCCTGATGGAGCGTGCCTGGCGTGAGCGCGGAAGGGAGTGGCACCTTCCCAGTCGCAGCCCATTATCCTGCCCAGTAACTGTACCATTCAAGTCTGCTCCAAAACATGGGAGGGACACGTGCATCAAGGATCAAATTACTGTAGGTACGATTTTCAGGGACAGCCTAAGATAGGGACGGAGGATTGTAGCGCTCTGTGGTACGCGCATACCTGCGGCTCCTGAGCGTCCATTGAGCCCGAATACACTGGGGTCTATGTCCAGCAGCTCCTCCTGGCTCTCTGATTGGCTGCTGTAGCCACGCCCCCCACCGCCAGCCGCTATGAGCAGGGGCACTGGAACCCCTTTTTTCATCTGCAAACATGAGTGATGTCAGCCTCAGAAGATCCAGTCACTGTCATGTACGGTCAGCCTCAGTCTACCCCTACCTAGGAAGTCCCACCTTAAAAATGTACGTGGCTCCGCCTCCACCTCCTCCGCCTCCACCTCCTGGCAGTTTTGCTCTGGTCTTGCTATCGATGGGCAATGTCTGCTCTAAACACACCCTGTTGAGCGTGTGGTTGGACTGCAAGAGAAGACAGAAGGATAAATTATTTAATGGACGACTTCTGTGATTCCCCTGCCATGTGACAATTGTAGAGATGCATAATTAAAACAAAAGGCTTATGGAGAATGGGGTCAGAAACACTGAGGACCTGAAGACTTGGGCCAAGATAAGGAGAGATGCTCGGAAGCCAAGTCCTAAATCAGCTCTAGCCATTGGAAGCTGATGAGGGTGCTGGGGGAGGTCGATAAATCAGACTGCAGTCACGTCTGGGGCTGCCGGCTCGGCGAAGCCCAATTTCACAGAGAATTATCCTCCTGTCGTTACCCTCCAGCAGTCTGCAAGGTTGGTCGGGGACAGATTGGGCACTAGCCGAACCCTGCGCTCCTCCCAAAGAGGAGACATTAAACACACATTCCAGCCTCGGACGTTTAATGTGGCCTCATCTTCCCATGGCGATTACCCAGATGAGATAACACGGAGCTTCCGATTCTGCACCCGTGCCTGCATGCTCGCGGCAGAGGGGTCCATGAGGAAGGGGTACCCACGTTCGGACAGGCGTCCTCCCCCTGCTGTCCCACCAGGATGTAGAGCAGCTGGTCCTGCTGCAGATGGAAGTCTGCGGTGACGTAGACCCCGTGCGACCTGGCTGTGGTCACCACACTGCGGCCACCCGCGGCCCCGTAGCCCGTGATCCTGCGGGTGATGGATGCAGACTCTCTCTAAATGTTCTGGCCCCTCTCAGCAAAACAGCGGGTGTTTCTCAATAAGCATACTCGACTATACTTGTTCCCGTTTTACTTCATCTTCCATTGCTGAACACCAGTTCCAAGAACACAAATACACAAAGACGGTAAAAATCCCCAGACGTCATTCTTCCCCTGCCCCAAATATGTAGGATACATCAGTTGCATCCCTGCCAAATGAGACCAATCCCATGATTCATTGCATCCCAAGTTCATGCTTGGAAGGCATGTTATCAAGACCGGTTTTGCCAAGACCACAAGTACAATCTTTGCGTTCTTGGTATTGAGAAACACCCAGTGACAAGGGACGGCGCCCGGAGTGACAGAACATCTTCCATTTGTTGTAACAATCAGTCCAGAAGCTTACGCTTCCTTTGAAATGGATGGTCTTTTCGGGGACCTTCTTAATTCGTTCTGTTTACCTGAAATCGGGACTGTATCAGATAGTGTTTAATGCCTTAACATTTCAGCCCCATTTACAGCAAGCACCTCCGCAGCCGTTTATCTAATTGCTTCGGAAATACCGTCTCACATTTCTACTCCCTTATATCAATTAAGTAATTAAGGCAGCTTGGACTGAGGAAACAGTGACGTCCCGTGAAATAGAGAATGCATGGTCATTTGTGGATTTTGGCAGCATTCTCTTATCCCTGTACAAGATGTGTCCTTGCTGGTGTGGTGTGTGTGTGTGTGTGTGTGTGTGTGTGTGTGTTTCGGGGGGATCAGGAGTGCGTCTGTCTGTCTGATATGGGCGGGACTGTGCTGTATGAGGCTCACCTGTAGGTTCCCGTCTCTGGAACCTTCCACATCTGCATGCCCTTCAGCATCCCCTTGGTTCCCACGGTGATGTTGATGTTGGTGTTCCGATAGGAATTGCTACACTGAGTGGGGGTGGGACCTACAGGCCCAGTGGCTCCACAGGTGTGGAAGGTCCACTTGGCTGCAGGGACACACACACACACACACCATCAAGATGTGAGTCAGAGATGCTTCACGGTCAGGGCCCTGCTATGTCAGGGAGTTCTGTAACCTGTGCTGAAACCAGAGTTACACAGCTGGCGCCGCCCACAGGAGTGGCAGTGTGTAAATCCGCCCAGATTGAGCCCCAAGGGGCATAGAAATAGTCCCCGACCCGTAAAGCAAATGAGAGAATCGACTGTAAAGTTGTGAATATTTACACCTGTATGAGAAAGTGACCAGAAAGCTCAGACGGCACATTCATCACGCGAGCGCATTAGACAAACACACTCCTCGCGGGCATAAATCTGCCTGCTGTATTATGTCGTCCCACCGGCGATCGATAACCTCCCACTTCTCAGCCCGGCTCCCTGGGTGGTGGGGGGCAGGGGGTGGGCAGAACAACAGCCAGCCATCTCCAAAGAGAGCAAAGGTGTGCACAAGAGAAGCCTGGGGGAGTTGGGAAAGCAGGTGTACTTTTTCATGCTTGGGGGGGCGGATATTCAAGAGCCCTTCGTTTGGTCACCTGAGCTTATGACACCTGACCAGACTACAACTCTGAGTTGCACCATTGCCAACCTGCCGGGGTGAGGGCAAAGCCATGGGGTAGGATACACAACTCAAACGGCCCCCGCCGAGGATGAAGGAGACAGGCACCCTTGTGCTCTGCCAGCCTCAGGCAATGCGACCCACTTCCATTCCTCCAAAAACCCTAAAAAACAGGATGCTGCCCTTTCTCCTTCAATTACAGTTACTACTTTTAGTTTTGTTTACTTCTTATTGTAGCTGTGTCTGCTATTGTACTGAGCGAGCAGCTAGATGGAGGGGAGTAATAGATAAGGATTATATCCCCATTAGCCCAAGGGATGCCGGCAAACTCCAGAGAAGAATGAGAGTCCAAACTGATGCAGCCATTGTTAATCCTGAATTCTGCTTTACAGAATCGACGGAAAAGGAGTCTATCGAGAGAACTGCTGTTCAGAAAGACAAACCGCCATGACCCGCAAGGTCACTGGACCATACATTATCTCAAATTAATTTCTTTTCATACTATATTTTTTTAAAAGGATACTTACAAGGGAAATATGTGTAGAAGAAGTTTCCCACAGAGAACATGACACTCCCCGTCTGATATTGAACATAAGTAAATTTTTCCAGTGTGAGTTTATATTTTTTTAAAAAAGGGAAAAATTTTGGAAATGTTCCACTATGAAGTTTATCACTTTTTTTTCTTGTGTGGTCGAAGTTTTCACACAATTCATAAAAATTTGGATTAAAATTGGATGATTGACACAGAGCGAGTAGCCTTACTCTGAACTTGATGGGAACACTCCTCTCTTTTGAGGTCAGCACCCTGTGTGTGTGATCAGTCGGTAGGCTGTGGATCTGTGTCCAGAACGTCATGGGGTTGAATCTGATACGTATTACTTCATTGCCACGAGGCCATTTACTATAAGGTGAATGATATAGCTAAAATAGAGACAAATGCATTAAAAGCAGATGTGTCCAGACTTTTGACTGGTACGTTACATCTAAAACATAAGCATAAGGACAGGATGAAGATGCAGGATGGTCCTATTTCAACGAGAAGAACACGGGACAAACAGCAGATAAAGAATGCAAGTGAATGCTCTGGCACAGGGCCTCCCTGCCCCCCCATACACACACACACAGACGCACACACACACACACGCCTCATTTCTCATTGGCCGCCGTTTATGTAGCGTGCAAATGACCAGCGTTGCCCAAATCACAACGCCGTGAAGTTTCGCCTTGCCCGTACCGGCGCTCAGCGACCCGTTGGCAGTGGATTTCCCATCACCCCCCCCCCTCCCCACTTCCCACCCTCCTCGCAAATCAGGGAGGAAATAGAGTGACAAACTGCGTAAATTACCCGTCTCCGAACGCGGTGGGAAAGCAGATGAACGGCCAGAGCTGTTTGTTGTTTCAAAGCAGACTTTGGGCAGCTCTCACTCCAGTTACGAGAGAGAGAGACCCAACCGCTTGGCGGCTTCCAATCATTTTAGCGACTCTTTCTAGTGGACGGCTAATAGATGGCAGAGTATGGCTGGGAGGAGAAGACCACACATACAAATCGACTCCTCGCGATGAGACGACGAGCTCGGCGAGCCGTGTGTGGGCAGGAGTCTCCTTAGCACTGTTTATGAAAAATAATAAATGCGGCGCCGCTGATTAATTCACATTGACGGGTGATCTGAGAGCGTAGGAAGGGAGTCACAAAGAGTAGCAATTACTCTGTAAGTAAACAAGATATTGAGTAATGGCATCATGTGACCAGGGGAGAGACGCGACAACAGCCCCGCAGCCATTTATTTTGGCAGCAGTAGGAATAGTTCTGCATCAATTCGCAGGTCATTCCATGTGTATGGAACGCATATTCCATAATGTCTGTCGGAATTTTAAGAAGAAACTATGGTCTCCCCCAGGTTTGGCACAGCATCTGCATTACTGTCAGTAAGACACCAACTTTGGTATAGTAATATATTACAATTATGAGAGTGATTGGTGTGTGAGTGTGCCCTGTCATGGGTTGGTGCCCCATCCTGGGTTGTCCCCTGCCGTGCACCCATAGCCTCCGGGATAGGCTCCGGACCCCCCACGACCCTGAATTGGATAAGTGGTTTCAGATAATGGATGTATGGATGGATTATGCGAGTGCAAAGGAAGGCCAATTAATATGACCTGTATACTTTCACATCTCTACATATGAATCATTGAAACCACTTCCACTGATTTACTTAAAAAAATAATTCTAGTTTGTACTAAGGCTGGTGTCCACGTATAGTGGTGAACAGTGAATTATGTTCACCAGTGGGTGGCACACTTTCTTCATTTGCTATGCTGCATGCTATGTCTCTCTGCAGCAGAAGAGCACAGGCAATGTATGGCTGACTTTCTGCACTAATTATAGAGGGCCGCATGTTTCTTTCCCTTTTCTTGATTTTCTTATCGCTCTGCTTTCTCACATTAGCCTTGAAAATATCTGACAGTTTGAAAAGAAACACTGAGCGCTTATTCTATTTAATCTTTGTTTTGCTCGGGTGGGTATCGAGCGAAAGCATCATTAAGGATCAAAGTGATGCCCACGCGGTCGAGCCACTTACCGTCACTTGGGGGCGGTATAAGAGTCGTTGAAGGCAGATCCCCAGTGGCTGAAGGCGTGACCCTCATAGTCCGGTTTGTCGGTTCGGGTATGGTGATGTTCACCATGGGAACAACTGGAGGAAACTCTCCATTGGCTGAAGAGAAGGAGAAGGTGTGGTCAGTGTCCTTCTGCTGTATCTACCATCACAACGTTAACTGAATGGACCTTCTGCTCAGATCTTTATCAATGGGGGAAATCTATCTGCTTTGAGGTGTAGTCTCCAAACAGATTGGGCATATCCACCATGACCATTAGCGCAATTAGCATATCTAAATGTCCAGCCTCTGTTCCGAAGCTTTCCGTCCGCTGGAGGAACGCTCTTGAATTAAGCCTCTGAGCTCCCTTACAATGACCAGCAGCGAAGAGGCACTGAAGCAGCAGGACCCCAGGCTACGGGATCCGGTGGGCAAGGAGCGAGTGGGGGGCAGAGAGGCTGCGAAAGGGCGCTTTGATCTGGGCAAATGACAGGTCAGGAGAGCGGCCGGAGAAAGCAAAGGCTGACACACGAGCAGCTCCTGAAACCTGCCCACTTTTCAGTATCAATTAATCTGTTTCTCCCAGCAAATTGATGGAATTCACCAAAGCGAATTCGCCAGGAAGTCACGATACTTCTGGTGCAGTGAGGTGATGTCACACCTTTCCCATCGCCACTGCTAAGCAGTACTTGTGCTGCACACCTTGGATCTCTGTGCCGCAATATGAAGATACAGCCAAGCAGAGGCGCTAAATCATTTCAAATCTATTTACCTTCCCACCCGGTACCGTCATGACTCACCCCCCACCTCCCCAAAAAAGCTACATACAGAAAGAAAATGGAATCAAGGTCTTCAAAGGATAGTTTGTGATCCTCAGGGGAGACTGTAAGCACAAGAAGCCCATCTGAAGGGTAGGTGAGAGAGAGGGGCGGGTGTGGGAGCCTTTGTTTTGGGCAATAAAGGTGAAAGTGATGAGGGACTCGAGTTGGGGTGATTCTGGTGGCCCTGTCGGATCACACTCTATCGGAGATGGCGCCTCTCATCACGTGGAAGAGGGACTTGTTCAGAGCGAAGATCTACAGCTGCTACCAGCAGAGCTGGGACAATTAACAATGAGAAACTCGTAGCACAAGTATCAGAAAGCGACCTGCCTTTGACAGGGAGAGCAGCAGAGAGTCCCGAGTTTCTTGATCTTGATTAGGATTTTGGGAGCACATTCCTACTCGTTCACCTCGCCCTCTTTAGCCACGATCCCGTCACCTCGCCCTCTTTAACCGCGTTCCCGTCACCTCGCCCTCTTTAGCCACGATCCTGTCACCTCGCCCTCTTTAACCGCGTTCCCGTCACCTCGCCCTCTTTAGCCGCGATCCTGTCACCTCGCCCTCTTTAGCCG